TTTTTGTTTCCTGCTCCCTTAACCTACTAGCAATTACAGAAACCTGGCTCTCCAAGCAGCAGATTCTGCTTTTCCCGCAGCACTTTCCTGTGGAGGCCTCCTCTGGACCCACTCACCCAGACCCAGTGGTCGGAAAGGTGGTGGAGTTGGTTTGCTTCTATCCCCACTGAGCACCTTTCAAGTCCTCCCTAACCCTCCCTCTCTATCCTTCTCTTCTTTCGAGACTCACTGCATCCGTCTGTTTTCTCCCATTTCTCTGAGGATTGCAGTGATCTAACGGCCTTTTGGACCAGTGTCCCACTTTCTTGATGATTTCTCCACCTGGCTACCCTACTTTCTCTCCTCTGAACTACCCACTATTATTCTCGGAGATTTTTAACATCCCTATTAATGTCAACAACCTGCCTACATCCCAACTCTTCAACCTAACCTCATCTTTTGCATTAGCACAATGTATACAGTCCTCCACTCACTCTGATGGCAATACATTAGACCTTGTTTTCTCCCAACTTTGCACTCCCTACAACCTCACAAACGCCTCCTTTCCTCTCTCTGATCACAATCTCATCACCTTCACAGTGTCCTCATCTTCATACACCTATCCCTCCAAGCAGCAAACAATTACCCGCAGAAACCTCCACAACTTGAACCCTGCTCCTTTCCACTCTGCAACTGACCAACTCTATGACAGAACCTCTCCCCTGTCCTGCCCTGACCTGGCCACTGCTGTCTACAACAGTTCACTTTCATCCACATTAGACTCACTTGCTCCTCTAACAACACGAAGCATCAGGCCCCGACCATTACAACCTTGGCAGAATGACAACACCAGAAATCCTAAACGACATAGTCGTGCACTGGAGCGATTGTGGCGTAAAACCAAATCCCAGCAAGCATTCACCCTATATAAATCTGCTTTCTTAACATACAAATCCTCCCTTCATGCTGCCAAATAAGCCTACTTTCTCACTCTTATTAATACCTTGTCATCCAGTCCCCGTCGTCTCTTCTCTACTTTTAACTCTACTTTCTCCACCTCCACCCAGTAACTCACTCACTGCTCACGAGATTGCAAATCATTTCAAAAACAAGATTGACGCAATTCGTAGGGACATCGTCACTGCACAGACATCCATCCCACTTAGCATACCTTATACTAAACCTCCCTCAACACTTTCCTCATTTGACCTTGCTACTACCGAAGAGGTCACTAAGGTTTTCTCTGAAGTCTGTCTCACTACCTGCCCCCTGGATCCTGTCCCCTCACAACTACTACGGTCACCCTCTTCTTCCATCCTATGCTCCCTCACTCACATCTTCAATCCTTCCCTCTCTATTGGTACCTTCCCCTCCCCTCTAAAGCATGCGCACATCACTCCCACACTTAAAAAGCCCTCCCTGGACCCCACCAACATTAACAACTTAAGACCCATCTCCCTGCTGCCATTTACCTCTAAACTCCTAGAACGCTTAGTCTACAATCACCTGAGTTCCCACCTCACCGATACCAACCTTCTTGACCCTTTACAGTCTGGCTTTCGCTCACTACACTCCACTGAAACTGCCCTACTCAAACTCACTAATGATCTACTAACAGCTAAAACCAATGGCCACTACTCCATACTCTTACTACTTGACCTCTCTGCGGCTTTTGATACAGTTGACCATCCCCTCCTCCTCAAAAAACTCCACTCTCTTGGCCTCAGAGACTCTGCTCTCTCCTGGTTCTCCTCCTACCTATCACAGCGCTCCTTCAGCGTTAACTGTAGCGCTGCCTCCTCCTCTTCACTCCCTCTTTTTGTAGGGGTCCCTCAAGGTTCTGTCCTTGGACCCCTTCTCTTCTCCATCTACACCTCCTTCCTTGGTCACTTGATAAACTCCCATGGCTTTAACTACCATCTCTATGCTGATGACACACAAAATCTATCTTTCTACCCCTCACCTCTCCCCTTCAGTCTCCTCTCGCATTACTAACCTACTAAGCGACATATTGGCATGGATGTCACTCCACTTCCTCAAACTCAATCTTTCCAAAACTGAGCTCTTGGTAATCCCCCGAGCCCGTGCCCCCTCCCCTGACTTCTCCATCAAGATCAATAACACAATCATCATTCCCTCCCCTCATGCCAGGTACTAGGTATAATCCTAGACTCCCATCTGTCCTTTCACCCCCAAATCCAATCACTGTCCAAATCTTGTAGACTTCACCTCCGCAACATCTCCAAGATATGCCCGTTCCTAACCTCGGAAACCACTAAGCAACTTATTCACTCCCTTGTTCTATCTCGCCTTGACTATTGTAACTCCCTCCTCATTGGCCTACCGAATCGCAGGCTATCCCCTCTTCAGTCTATCATGAATGCTGCTGCCAGACTTATCCACCTTACTAACCGTTCTGTATCTGCCACCCCTCTCTGCCAATCCCTCCACTGGCTTTCCCATTGCCCAACGGATAAAATTCAAAACATTAACAATAACGTATAAAGCCATTTATAACTCTGCCCCAAATGACATCAACGATCTTGTCTCTAAATATCACCCAAACCGTTCTCTCTGCTCCTCGCAAGACCTCCTGCTCTCTAGCTCCATTGTCTCCTCCCATGCTCATCTCCAGGACTTTTCCAGAGCTTCCCCCATCCTCTGGAACTCTCTACCCCAATTTATCAGACTATCGCCTACTCTGCTCACTTTTAGGCGATCTCTGAAAACCTATCTCTTCAGGGAAGCCTATCCTGCCCTCAGTTAATAATGGAATCTTCTACTCTTCTAACCAGTCCATCCCCCACAGTTACTACCTTTTGTACCACTAGCCCCTCCCTCCTAGATTGTAAATTCCAAGGAGCAGGGCCCTCCTTTCCCTCTTGTATTGAACTGTATTGTTGCTGTATTGTCTCCCGTTATATTGTAAAGCACTGAGCAAATTGATGGCGCTATATAAATCCTGTATAATAATAATAATAATTATGAGTTTCATATAAAAATCAGCATGTGACATGTTAGACATTAAGTTCCCATGACGCTACTTGATTAAGAGATGTATAATTCTGGTAAACAATAGACAACAGGACATGCCCCCCACCCCCAAATCAATCTGAGTCAATCTTCCCTGCTGCTGCTGCTGACTTTATCCAGATTAAACAGCAGGGTGCTTTGTATTTACACTGTCATTGTACAACCCCACACTGTGAGAGATGTGTTTGTGCTGATGTATAAATAGGAGACATCAAAAGGAACATCTGCCACCAGACCAGACCTGAGCTGAGAGATGTCATTCCTGCAGGACAGGTAACACACTCTTGAGCAGCTTCTCTCAACCTTTTTACCCAAGAGGAACCTTTGAAATAATTTTAAGTCATAGGAAATCCCTGGTAAGATTAGTCCAACCGGAGTCATTGGAAAAATACCCTTTACATTAGTGGTGGGAAGAATGGGTGGCTAGTATGACACCCTTACAGTCACACTGTAGGCTCCGCCAAGTGGTGCTGGACCTGAAACTATGTAGACACCATCAGCTGGTTGGTCCGTTAACCACAACTCAAAGAACCCCCTAGCCACCCCTGGAGGAACCCTGGTTGAGAATAACTGCTCTGGGGGGATTGTGGGTACAAGTATACACTCTGTATTTGTAGATAAGGACAAATTTAGTGACCTAATGGTATATCAGAACTTCCTCTGTTTAGCTGGAAAGGTTAAACTTAGTACACGCTATGAGAAAATCAGATGAATGATCTGATTTTCCACAAAGGTGATGATGTATTGATGTAACCGAGAATGGTATTTACTTGTATGAACATTCGACCAATAAAGGCAAATGTAGCTATGTACTAGCGTAGTAGAAGAACTGATGCTGTGTAGTGTAGGGTTATTCTTTGCTTCTGATCATGTTTTCCTATTCGATGATTTCCATATGATTACTGTACACATTGAGTGAAAACGATAACGTACAATAAAAATGTTCTAGGTTAAATAAATCCACTTGATTGAGTAGGTGCCATTTACAAGTAATAATAATTTTAGGGATAAAGGATTAGTTTTATTGATTAGGCTCTTCGCAGGTGGATCTGATCAGAAGGTCAATTCATCACTATGGACAGGGGGGTGTAAACAGACTAGTCCATTTTCACCCACCTACCTCCAGTTTCGATCCAGTCTGCTAAAAAGAAATGGAAGGGAATCAGTCTTCTTCTGTTTAAGAGCAGATCAGAGGATAGTTGGGTGTAAACGGACAGTGGAGTCTGTTAACTCCTGACTGCCCATACAGCAGAGCGGGCTCTGTGCGTGTCCCCTGAGCAGACACAAATGTGTCATCCACCTGCTCTGCTCTGATCAGCAAAGGATCTGTGAGCTGATTGCTCCTTGGGCCTAAGGGATAAATGATTTGTCAGGGGAGGGGTTAGCTTTGCAGATATAATAAACAAGTTTTGTTACATTGTATTTTTTTTTCATTGTCATAAATTAATTTTTAGGTGTGGTAAATGTGGGTGTTGGCACACCAAAAACTATAATGCCGATTTTACTTGGCAAAATACACAATTTGGCAAAGTACTCCTTTCCTTATGAGGTCTTTCCTGTTCCTTTTATTAGTATAAACCCATTGAGTAAGATACAAACCAGGTCAATGGTTATTTCATATCTGCATGGCCACATGCCCTTTATTTATGATCAGCCTAAGACTACACTTTCTGGTTTTCATGTAATCTGTTTTCTTAAAATATTTTTCTCAAATCAACAATGTCGCTGGTTTAGGGCAAAGTTACACAATATAACTAAATAGATTATGTCAGAAAATGTGTCTGAAGACACTCTTGTAACCTTGCCATCTACAGGGCAGTTAAATCTATCATTAAATGTATCTTCTATACATGAAAAATATTATCAAGACAGCAGTGACAAAAGTGCTGCAGCAATGGTACCAGCAGGAACACATGTAGAGGAGAATGTAATTTGTGCTGGTGAAATGCACCTTCTGCATATAATCTGTCCCCTTTATTTTGTATAGTATGAGCCGTCATGGGACAATAGTCCTGCTCCTTTCCGTTGTCCTGCTGTCTTCTCATATGAGTCATGGCCAGCACTGGTCTTATGGACTACGGCCAGGTGGAAAACGGGAAGTTGAAAGTCTCCAGGACTCCTACGCAGAGGTAATAAATAATTAGGATAAAAAAATGTATGACAAGTAAACTCATCTCTTTCTATGGAGTGGGTAACTATCAAAGGGTAGCTTCACCAGGGTTTCAAAAAGCCTTATAAGCCTAGGGCTACAATGACAATTACATCCCCTTGCTACCAAGAGATTCAGCTACTCTTTGACAGCAATCCCATTAGTAGCACATTGATTTCAATGTGATGCACATGAGCCACTACCAAGGAGTAGTAAAAAGATTTAATTGCTAGTGTAGTACTAGGCTTACATCAGGGTAGGGGTCAAAGTTCAGTGTTCCTCTGTTTAGGGGTTGTAAGCAATAGAAAGATCTACCCAAGTGTTGGAGATCCCCAAAAAAATGTCCCTGTGTCAGTAGTTGCAAAGGTACCCCATCATTGGTTTTAGTATCTCTTCCCCTTCATTAATGTTAAGGGGCACCTACCTCCATATAGGCTTCACATCCCACACTCTGCTACTCCTGATGATGTCACAACCAGGACTACATGGACCATAGGGCAGGGTATCACCCCAATCCGCATTGATCCAAATACAATGTCCACTTCTGAAACACTTCATTTCAGTGCCCTTCACCCATGGCTACTCGACATTCAGGGGCTTCCGATGAGAAAGCCCTGCAGGGACCAATTTACAGCAACCAGCAGGACATAGACTGGCCCCAGGCCATAGTTTGGGGACTGTTGCTCCAGGGCCCTGTACATACAGACTTTTGTACAAGAAGAGCTTTTTACAAAGTATTTTTAAGCTTTAAGCAGCTTTGTTCAAACCTTGAGTGCCAGTTCACACTATTGTGGTGCGATTCTTTGTAGTACACTTTGAGCCATTCATTTTGTATGGCTCAAATCACATTGCACCCACGTGAAAGGTACAGGCACTTTTTTCTTCTCACACTGGAATTGGATTGCATGGGTGTGTACACACCCATGCGATCTGATTCAGTGAGTCGCACTGCAAACCATTTTTGGGGTGTCATTTAACTTAGATACCCACAACAGTTCGCATGAGCAGACTGTGATTCTGATGAGGTGCAGGAAACGCACAGGAATCGCTGCAAATCCTGTACCACATCAATTTGAACCAGCACTTAAAGTGTTACTAAACCCAGGACACTGCATTCACTATATCTGGTCTCCCACAATACACAAAACATGGAAGTGCAATTATTTTAGTAAATATAAACAGCTACATACTTTTTCTCATCAGCAGTTACAGCAGTCTTGTGACTTACATAGTTACATAGTTAGTCTGGCTGAAAAAAGACAAACGTCCATCTAGTTCAACCATTAAAAAAAAAAAAAAAAATCCTATACCCACAGTTAATCCAGAGGAAGGCAACCCCCCCCCCCCAGCAAAATGATCCAATTTGCTCCTGCAGGGAAAAAAATTCGTTCCTGATCCCCCCAGAGGCAATCGGATAGTCCCTGGATCAACTTTACCTATAAATGTTAATATCCAGTTATATTCTGTGTATCTAAGAAATAATCCAAGCCTTTTTTAAAGCATCCACTGAGCTGGCCAGAACCAACTCTTGAGGGAGTCTATTCCACATTTTAACAGCTCTTACTGTGAAGAAACCTTTCCGTATTTGAAGATTAAATTTCTTTTCCTCCAGACGTAAAGAGTGCCCCCTTGTCCTCTGTGATGACCTCAGGGTGAATTGCTCTACACCGAGTTCACTATATGAACCACTGATGTATTATACATGTTGATCATATCCCCCTTAATCTTCTCTTCTCAAGAGAGAATAAATTCAGTTCCTCTAATCTTTTCTCATAGCTGAGCTCCTCCATGCCTCTTATCAGTTTGGTTGCCCTTCTCTGTACTTTCTCCAGTTCCCCAATGATCTTTTTGTTAATTGGTGCCCAAAACTGAACTGCATATTTCAGATGAGGTCTTGGCATTGCATGCTTTAATGTACAGCTTGGCATTGCATGCCATTATTAAGCTTGTGATCTACCAGAACTCCCAGATCCTTCTCCACCATTGATTCCCCCAGTTGTACTCCCCCTAGTATGTATGATGCATGCATTATCTTAGCCCCCAAGTGCAGAACCTTACATTTATCAACATTAAACCTCATTTGCCACATAGCTGCCCAATTAAACAGAGCATTGAGGTCGGCTTGTCAGTTGGAGACATTCTGTAAGGACGTTATTCCACTGCACAGCTTGGTATCATCTGCAAAAACTGAAATGGTATTTTTAATCCCAGACCCTATATCATTTATAAATATATTAAATACTTCTATCAGTGTTCAGGAGAGCACTGGTTAAAACTTGTAGGAGGAGTTTTAATTTTGCTCTAGATGGATGCAGAACCCCTGACCTCTGTCTGGACAGTGCTAATTGGCCCTGTGCTGATCACATACACCCTCCAAAGAAAAAAAAACAAAAACCCAAAACCTCTCTAGCAATACACACCAAACTGTGCATGAGCAGAGTGACTCCACATAATATATCTTATCAGGAGATAAGAGGGGGGACACTGGAAGAAGGGGAGGATCAGGGACATTAGGATCAAACAGCCTTTTTACACAATGCAGAGGATTAACCCCTTATGTTCTACAGTGAGTGTAACAAGCATGCTCTACTGCATACAGTTAGGTCCATATATATTTGGACACAATTTTAGTTGTTTTCAGGTATTTACCAAAACATATTCAAGCTATAAAAAGATATGGGCTGAAAGTGCACACTCTCAGGTTTAATTTGAGGGTATGTACATCCAAATTGGAGGTAGGGTTTAGGAATTACAGCTCTTCAGAGTAGCCACCCCCCCCCTCCTTTTTCAAGGGACGAAAAGTAATTGGACAATTGAATCAAATGCTGTTTTATGGCCAGGTGTGGGCTACTCCTTCATTACTTCTTCATCAATTAAGCAGGTAAAAGGTCTGGTGTTGATTCTAAGTGTGGTATTTGCATTTGGAATCTATTGCTGTGAACCTACATCATGCATTCAAAGGAGCTGTTCATGCAAGTGAAACAGGCCTTTGTAAGGCTTCAAAAATGAAACAAATCCATCAGAGAGATAACAGCAACATTAGAAGTGGCCAAATCAACAGTTTGGTACATTCTGAGGAAAAAAGAATGCACTGGTGAGCTCAGCAACATAAAAAGGCATGGACGTCCAAGGAAGACAACAGTGGTGGATGATCGCAGGATCCTCTCTATGGTGAAGAAAAACCCATTCACAACATCCAGACAAGTGAAGGACACTCTCCAGGAGGTGGGCATATCATTGTCAAAGTCTACAATCAAGAGAAGACTTCACAAGAGCAAATACAGCGGGTTCACCACAAGGTACAATCCATTCATAAGTCTGAAGAATAGAAATGCCAGATTAGACTTTGCAAAAAAAATCTAAAAAGCCAGACAAGTTCTGGAAAAGCATTCTTTGGACGGATGAAACTAAGATTAATCTGTATCCCCCTTGAATTAAAGCTGAAAGTTTGCACTTCAAATTCATTTAGATTGTTTCATTTTAATTTATTCTGGTGGTATACAGAGCCAAACGTATGAAATTTGTGCCTGTGTCCAAATACATAGGGACCTAACTGTATACAGACTGATTTTATGTTGTTGGTTTAGTAACACTTTAAGTAAACTTACTTTCGCAAAGGGGATGCTAAACAACCTTCATTAGCTCACACTCAGATAATATGAAAGTAATTTCAATGTCATGTTTATTTTAGGTGCCGAATGAAGTTTCATTCACAGAACCTCAACACCTTGAATGCTCCATTCCACAGAACAGACACAGCCTCCTCAGAGATGCTTTGGTGAGTACATTTTAAAAATGAACACACTCCAGTTTGTTGTAGATCTGAGGCTAGCTACACTATTTGCACCAGAACAGGACCAAGAAAAGATCAGGGCTAGAGATGAGCGAATCGAACCAGGCGAAGTGGAATTCGTTTCGAATTTCAGGAAAAATTCGATTCGCGTCGAATCCGAATATTAGCATAATTCGGGTGCGCGAATCGGATTTTTCCCGATCAGCGGCAAAAGTGTCCCTGCAGAGAGCTCCGCTATTTCTGACAGTTCTCTGACAGTTCCTTCACATGTACAGCGGTTGAAACATTGTATCTATTTGTTTCCATTTAGGATACAGATGTTTTTATTCGGAAACAGATACAATGTTTCAACCGCTGTAAATGTGAAGGAACTGTCAGAGAACTGTCAGAAATAGCGGAGCTCTCTGCAGATACACTTTTTGCTGTACTGGAATACTTATTCTTCTTTTCATTCTTTTTATCTTCTTCTCATTCTTCTTTTCATTCTTCTTCTTCTTTTCATTCTTCTCATTTTCTTTTCTTCTTCATTGAAAAGAAGAATGAGAAGAAGAAGAAGAATGAGAAGAAGAATGAGAAGAAGAATGAGAAGAATGAGAGAGAATGAGAAAGAAGAATGAAAAGATGAAGAAGAAGAATGAAAAGAAGAAGAATGAAAAGAAGAATGAAAAAAAGAAGAAGAAGAATCTTTTCATTCTTCTCATTCTTCTTCTTCTTCTTTTCATTCTTCTTTTCATTCTTCTTCTTCTTCTTTTCATTTTTCATTCTTCTTTTCATTCTTCTTCTTCTTCTTTTCATTCTTCTCATTCTTCTTTTCATTCTTCTTCTTTTCATTCTTCTCTTTTCATTCTTCTTTTCATTCTTCTTCTTCTTTTCATTCTCTTCTTCTTTTCATTCTTCTTTTCATTCAGAAGGAGAAGGAGAAGAAGAAGGTTTCATTCTTCTTTTTCATTTCTTCTTCTTCTTTCATTCTTCTTTTCATTCTTCTTCTTCTTCTTCTCTTCTTCTTTTCTTCTTCTCATGAAAAGAAGAATCCATTCTCTTCTTTGAAAAAGAATGAATGAAAAGAAGAAGAAGAATGAAAAAGAAGAATGAGAAGAATGAAAAGAAGAATGAAAAGAAGAAGAAGAAGAAAAGAAGAATGAAAAGAAGAATGAGAAGAAGAATGAAGAAGAAGAATGAAAAGAAGAAGAATCAGAATGAAGAGAAGAATGAAGAAAAGAAGAATAAGAAGAATGAAAAGAAGAAGAATGAATGAAAAGAAGAATGAAAAGAAGAAGAAAATCTTTTCATTCTTCTCATTCTTCTTTTCATTCTTCTTCTTCTTTTCATTCTTTTTTCATTCTTCTTTTCTTCTTTTCATTCTTCTTCTTTTCTTTTCATTCTTCTTCTTCATTTTCTTCTTCTTCTTTTCATTCTTCTTTTCATTCTTCTTCTTTTCTTTTCAAGGATCTTCTCTTCTTCTTTTCATTCTTCTTCTTCTTCTTTTCATTTCTTCTTCTTCTTCTTTTCATTCTTCTTTTCATTCTTCTTCTTCTTCTTCTTCATTCTTCTTTTCATTCTTCTCCTTCATCTTCTTCTTCCTTCTTCTTCCTTCTCATCTTCTTCTTTCTCTTCTTTTCATTTTCTCATTCTTCTTTTTTCATTCTTTCTCATTCTTCTTCTTCATCTCTTTTCTCATCTCTTCTCTTTCATTCTTCTCATTCTTCTTTTCTTCTTCATGAAAAGAAGAATGAGAAGAAGAATGAAAAGAAGAATGAAAAGAAGAAGAAAAGATGAGAAAAGAAAGAAAAGGAATGAAAAGAAGAAAGAAGAATGAAAAGAAGAATGAGAAGAAGAATGAGAAGAATGAAAAAAGAAGAAAAGAAGAAAGAATGAAGAATGATAGAAGAATGAGAAGAAGAAGAATGAGAAGAATGAAAAGAAGAATGAGAAGAAGAAGGAAGAGAAGTATGAGAAAGAAGAAGAAGAAGAATGAAAAAGAAAATGAAGAAGAAGAAGAAAAAAAGAAGAATGAAAAGAAGAAGAAGAATCTTTTCATTCTTCTCATTCTTCTTTTCATTCTTCTTCTTCTTCTTTTCATTCTTCTTCTTCTTCTTTTCATTCTTCTTTTTTCTTCTTCTCTTCTTTTCAAATCTTTCTCTTCTTCTTTTCATTTTCTTTGAAGATTCTTTTTCATTCTTCTTTTTCATTTTCTTTCTTTTTTTTTTTCTTTCTTTTCAAGAGAAAAGGGAAGAAGAATTTTCATTCTTCTTCTTTTCTTCTTCTCATTCTTTCTTTTTTTCTTCTTTTTTTCTTTCTTTTCTTCTTTTTCTTCTTTTCAAAGAAATTCATTCTTCTTCTTTTTTTTTTCATTCTTTCATTTTCTTCTTCTTTTTCTGAAATTTTTCTTGAAAAGAAGAAAAGAAGAATGAAAAAGAAGAAGAAAATGAAGAAAGAAGAATGAATGAAAAGAAGGAATGAAAAGAAGAATGAAAAAGAAGAATGAAAAGAAGAAGAATGAAAAGAAAGAAAAGAAGAAGAATGAATTGAAGAAAGAATGAAAAGAAGAATGATTTGAGAAGAAGAAAGAAGAAGAAGAAAAAAAGAATGAAAAGAATGAAAAGAAGAAAAGAAGAAGAATGAATGAAAAGAAAAGAAGAAAGAAAGAATGAAGAAGAAAAAGAAGAAAAGAAAGGAAATTCTGAAAATGAAGAAATATGAAGAATGAGATTTCTTTTCTTTTCAAAAAGAATTCTTTCTTCAGAGGTCTTTTTTTCATTTTTCAGAATTTTCTTTTCTTTTCTTCTTCTTTTCAAGTTGAGGATGAGGGATGAAGAAGAAGAAGAATTTTTTTAGAGGATTTTTGAAAAAGAAGAAGATTTTCAGACCGGCAAAAAGTGTTTTTCTCTCTTTTCCGATTTTCAGAAGCTGGGTTCTGCAGAGCTCCTGGGTCTAGTGTGTATCTGCAGAGTTCTTCCGGTGATAATTTCTCATTGTATCTATTTGTTTCCATTGGTATGGAAAAAATAGATACAATGTTTCAACCGCTGAAGCTGTGGATGTGAAATGTCAGAGAACTGTCAGAAAATAGAGGGAGCAGATACACTTTGCTGAGAGCTCTGCTACAGCTCTGCAGATAACTTTTTTGCCGGTTTGGAATTCTTCTTATTTTTCATCCTATTCTTCTTCTTCTTCTTCATCCTTCCTCTTTCAGAAGAAGAAGAGGATGAGGATGAAGAAGAAGAAGTAGGGATGAAAAAAAGAAGAATTCCAATTTTCAGGTTTTTATCTGCAGAGCTCCGCTAAGTGTATTGAGAAGTTTGTGGAAGAAAAAAGATTTTTGGAGCTCTGCAGATACACATTTTGCCGGCTTGGAATTCTTCTTTCCATCCTTCTTCTTCTTCTTCTTCTTCTTCTTCTCATCTTCTCCTTCTTCTCATCCTTCTCCTTCTTTCTCATTTTTTTTTTCTTTCTCATCCTTTGAAGTGGATTCATCTTCTTCTTCTGAAAGAGGTCCTTCTTCTTCTTCTCTCCTTCTTTTTTTTCTCATCTCTTCTTCTTCTTCTCATTCCATTCTTTTCTTCTCATCCTTTTCCTTCTTCTTCCTCATCCTTTTTTCATCCTTCTTCCTTCTTCTAGGTGATCCTTTTCTTCCTTCTTCTCATTCTTTCTTCTTCTTCTTTTCTCATCCTTCTGGGGATTCTCTTCCTTCTTCCTCATCCTTCTCCTTTCCTTTTTCCTTTTCCTTTTTTTTCTTCTTCATCCTTCTTTTTCTTCTTTTCTTCTCTCTTCTTCTATCTTTTCCTCCTTTTCTCATCCTTCTTTCTTCTCATCCTTCTCCTTCTTTTTCTGTGGAAGTTTAATTTCTTCTCATTTCTCTTTTTCATTTTCTAGGGCATTTAAATTAAAGGGGTTTTGTCAGTGTTTCTGTTTTGTAATTTTTTAAAGGCTCTTCTGAAGCCTAGAAAAACCCTTTTTATAAGTTAAATTCGTTAGCAAATTGAAATTTCGCATCGAATAGTTATTTCTTTCTTGAATTATTGGCGAATTTGTGCCGAATCAAAATTTTTGAATAATTCGCTCATCTTAATGGGCTATTCTTTTTGGTTTGTTTTAGCTAGGGGATATTAATGGGTTTAACTAGCACAAGGAGGGTGAAATAGCAATCAGTTTGTAGGGATCATCCTGGAATTTATAGTTTCTCACCTAACCTACACTGATGGGTTCTGTATCAGGGTGGTTTGTTTTTATCAGTTTTGCCCTGACTTATCAAAGGTTCCACCAGGGTTGGACTGACAAATCATGGGGGATTTGGGCAAAAGGGGATCATGGGGAGGTTTTGTGTGGATTTGGAGTTTTCAAAAAAAAGCCTATGAAAAAAGGTTACCATTGGGCAACTAATGGGGCCACATATTTTTTTTTTTAAGATGAATGGGTGGGCAGCAGTTGCAGTTTTTTTTGGTCAGTCCACCACCCGGGTTCCACTTTGGCTTTTTTTTGGACTTGGAAGTTTTAACCCAACAGTGGTATGTTGCCTAGGGAAGACAGATACTGGGCACACTGGAATGATGGCAGGTATTTTTATGACTAGCACTTTGATCTTTTGAATCCTGTGCAAATTTTTTAATAAAGGTAGATTGCACTGGATGGTAAAAAGCGTTATGGGTGTTGGTTTGACACTGGGGACCCTGGGCAGGCCATTACTTGATCAATTGGGAATTCTTTTTACATTTGATATGGTATTGTATTTGTGGTTTTTGTTTTTTTTAGGTTGAGCATGTAATTTTGGTTTTTTGGGTTTTCTATGGTAACTTTTTGTTTTGGACATTTAACCATCGTTGTTCATTTTTTGAAAGGGTTGGGGGGAGGAGGAGGAGGATCATGGACCATGACTTGGTCTGTAGTGAAAAGGTTTGGGAAGGAGAGCAAGGATAATACTTGGGGGTTTGGGGGTTTTAAAAAATGATGGGGAGTTTGGGAGTATGGTCTTGCTTTTAGGGTAGAGAAAAGTTGGGGGGGGA